GGTGTGGGTGTGGGTGTGGGTGTGGGTGTGGGTGTGGGTTTGTTTCTGGTGACATTTGGGGGCAATTTTAAGACAAAAATCCTACATTTGGGGACAAAAGTCGAGTCCCCATTTGTTTAAATGCCATTGGTGGGTTGGGGGTTGGGTTTAGGACCAAGGTGTGAATTGAGTTTAGGTTAGTTTTAGGGTCAGGTAGGTACCTGTGAGGTTAGCCTTAGGGTTGGTGGTCAGGGTTAGGCTGTAGAAATGTAATGGAAGTCAATGGAATGTCCCCAAATGGATAGCTGGGCGAACCTGTGTGTGTGTGTGTGTGTGTGTTTCTCACATTTACACAGAGAGGTATTTCATCTTCCCAGAGAAAGAACTCGTGATTCCTCGTAACTTTAAGTTTTGAGAAGTGTAGAGACCATAGTTCTCTTACACGCCTCTGAATGTCACAGGAAATCATCCCTGCTTATGGAAATCAGACTGTACCATGTGTAACAATTGATCTTTTCATTTTGTTCCAAATACCTTCCACACTAAAGAAACTAGCATTAATTCTCTAATTTGTCCCCTTTTCTATTGTTGAGTCACTGTGTTGAATCCTGTCTGTGTATTTTTATTTTCGTATTTGCTTACTTTTATTCTTATGGTGTGCTGTAAACCAAACATTTCCCCCTGACAGTTATTAAAGTATATTTGAGTTGAATTTAACGTAGACAGTGGAGCAATCTGCTTCCAATTCACAGTTCATCATTCGATAGGGGACCAATAAACAAGCAGGCGTGTGGCTGGGAACTCTAGATATCCATGTTTTATCATGGCCATGACTGACCCAAGGACATTAAACTATTCAAATGGTAGCAGCAACGCAATATCCTCTTACTGCTGTTCATTTGGACATTTGGTACAGATTGTGTATTTGTAAACAACAGATGTCAGGTTTGGTTTGTCCATCATGATTCTCTGTGAGCTGCATAGGTTCTAAACCAAAACCTGTGTACAGGTTAGTCCCCAGATGCTGTCTCCATAAACCAGAGGCAATTTCTGTAACTCCACGGTCTCAGTCAGTCCACCTCCCTGTTTTAGGTCCTCGAAGTCTGATTCTTTCAATCAAAGTTTCCTTCTTGCTTCAAATCAAAAGAAAATACAAATGAATATTTGCTTTCAACAAAATGTACATACAATTGTTGAAATCACAACCTGTCCTTACCAGTACATGTTTTCTAACAATCCAAACAGGACGAAGATGTAAAAGTACACCGTGCAGCTCAGTAGAATAGTGGTTTTCTCACAGTAAGATGGAATCCTGAGTTTAAATCCTGGCCTATAAGAAATTTCTCTGGGTGTGAAGTTTTTTGCAGATTGACTTTAAGCGTGTGTGTCTGTGTGAATACACATGTTTTTGTTACCTGGTGGGGACAACGTTTGACCATTTTCCTTGGTACACACAATTGTGAGGACCCACTGGTCCCCATGGGTTTAAAGGCTGGTTTAGGGTGGAGGATTAAGATGTGAGTTAAGTTTAGGTTAGAGTTAGGGTTAGGTATGTACTGGGGAGGTTAGGTTTAGGATAAGGAATCAGGGTTAGGTTATAGAAATGCAATGCCCCCATGAGGTTTATGTGTGCGAGTGGTTTTGACCCTTTGTGTCACCATCATTACATCAGAGTTAATGTTTGGCTGTGGACTGTGCACAGACCTTGGTGATCTGAGTGGTGGTGGTGGTGCTGACGGTCTCAGAGGTGATTGTCTGGGCACTCAGCAGCATTCCTGGGTCCTTCTCTGGAAGGTTATCCACAGGCTGTTGGGGAGATAAATTAGCTTTTCAGCATTAAACAGGAACGTATCATTATCAACATGCATTCAGACTTGATTACAATTGGGACATCGGGTTGAGTTAAAGTTGTGTTTTGAATGTGAAGTTTTATTTGTTTTAAGTTTACAGAAAAGACTCTGATGTCCCACATCAGTAACCACATCAATGGCAATCAAGGGTTTCAAAAAGGGGTCCATTAAAGCAACATGTGCACCCGAAACCAATGAAAGATTTGGTAATCAGATCAGTAAACAACTACTTTCCTTGTGAGACAAAGATTATAGGAAGATTGTTCCTCTCTTTTATTAGAAGCAAGCTTTGAAGAGGTGCCAATGGTCTAATGAAATACAAGCATTTCTTTCTTTTCTCATGAAAAAAGAACTTTCCTAATTGGCCCTAATACCTCATACCTCTGAATTTATACAGTATAACCATAAACAACAGCCACTCAGAAAGTTTCATAAATAACAGGAAGTCTTCCATTTTTTAGGCCCTGTCACACTAAAACATTTTAGACAACTTGTGCCAAATTATGAAAATTTTAAAGACGTTGAAGATGGAATAAAAAAATCGACTGGAAGCCTCTTGTAGGTGTGTGCATACTGTAATGCCAACAAACTGATTAAATATATAACTTTTATTAGTAATTTAGACATTAAAAAGTTAATAAGTTAGCACAAGCTGTCTAAAACGTTTTAAGGGCTCGACACACGGGAGGCGACGTCGCTCGCTCTCCATTCATTTCCTATGGAGCCTGTGCGGTGAGGCGACAATCGCTTGCCTCCAGCTAAGCGACCGGCGAAAATAGTGCATGTGAAATTTCGCGCTCGTACACGTAGACGTGCACACGCGAGCTTGCGACGCGACATATGAAAGTTGAAAAATGTTCACCTTTTGTCGCTGTCGCTTAGCGTACAACCAATCAGCGAGGGTTTKATTGACTGACCAATGAGAGGAGAGTATGCTACACACTGCCGTTAGCTAACACTTTCACCAAGTGATTATTAAAAAGCTTTGTGGGAATTTATTGGCACCAGGGTGAAGTTTATGGTAAGTTTTTCCTCATAAAACTGTATCTTGATGTGTGTTTGTTTTTCAATATCATTAGCATCGCAAGATTTGTTTAGTTTACACGTCCGTAACGCACACCCGCCTTCAGAGTCAAGAACCAATCAAATTTCATGAAGACAAGCGACCTGAGAGCGCGATTCGCAACGCTGTGATCGCTATCGCGTCCCGTGTGTCGGGTAATCACCCCGGCTGCGATGACAGCCGCTAATCGCTGTAGTTTGTCGCTGCCCGTGTGTCGAGCCCTTTAATCMCTGTAGTTTGTCYCTGCCCGTGTGTCGAGCCCTTTAATCGCTGTAGTTTGTCGCTGCCCGTGTGTCGAGCCCTTTAGTGCGAAAGTACCTTTACACCACTCTGTTTTACACACTTATTTTAACAAACATCTAAAGATTTCAAAACACCAGCTTCAAACAATGTCTTAAGGCATGGGTCATTAAATTGTATCAAAAACTTGGGTTTTTAAGACATGACGTGGGTGAGACTACACCTGAAAATTGGACTTCTTTTTATTAAACAAATTGTTATAATTTACACATGACACACAATCTACACCATTCACCAATTAATGGATAAATGGATTGTACTAGGATAATGAAAACACTCCACAACACAATCTGTTCCCTCATTTACTCATTCACACACACATTCATTCAGCACTTTACTTTGTCTCTACAAAGCTAATACGTATAAATCATTCTATAGAGACTAATCAGTGCTTTGGATCACATTTGTCCACTAATGGGACATCAGAGACAGAGAGGGGCTCAGTCTTAGCCAGGGACACTTCAACACTTCAAGCAGTGGAATCAAATCACCAACTGTCTCATCGGAGGACGACTGCTCTAATCACTCAGCCACAGCTGAGAGAATGAAGTGCTCAACACAGCAGCGTGTCAGTATTCCAGCTTCACCTGTACTCCAATCACAGAGAACAAGAAGGACCTTTTAACCAGTGGCTGCCTTCTCAACATCAGATGACAAATAAAAAGTTGACATTCGTTTGATTTGATTTTTACTATAGCTTCATGATGTTGATGTTGGTGTAAATCCCATTTATTTATTTCAGGACAACGTGTGCTGTCTCTTGAAATAAATGACATGAAGTAAATAAAATATTTAGTTTAATCTGCACCACATCTGATTGAAATTTGGCTCTAAACCCACTGAACACAAATTATGTCGGAAGTTTAGGTGCATAAACTCATCCAATGCTGTGTTCGGTATTAACTCTTATTTAGGGCTGTGAAGTTAACCGAGTTAACTCATATTGATTAATTTTATAATCATGACAATAAAATTTATAATCACTATACTATGGCTGAATATTTAGGTTTGTACTGTATATTGCAATGCACTCAGTGCATGCCAGGTCATGTTTGTAAATGAGAAGTGGTTTTCAAACAGTTTACCTGGATAAATAAAGGTTAAATAAATAAAATAAAATAAAAAACTTCATATGTAACACATTATGTACAGTTTTTTTCTTTTTTTTTCTTATTTTATTTTATTTATTTATGTTTTCTTGACAACTGTGACCTTAGTATCTATCTTTCTTTCCTCATGTAGAACTCATTTGGAATGAAAATCCTTGAATTCTTGATTTAACCTCATTATTCTGCACAAAATTTAACTGACTCACATATGTTTGGAGCATTTTTAGGTCCTGTTTTATATTCAAAAAAATCATGTCTAATTATCACTTTTGTTTTCTAAATAAAAACATTAAATACTAATTTATAACTCAAGTAATTTATTTTATCAATATGCAATAGATATTCAGTTTAAGATTAATCGTGATTAATTCACAGCTACTTTGGGATTAATCAGATTAAAAATATTAATCATTTGACAGCATTAGTCTTATTATTACTGGAGTTTTTTTTTTGTGAGCTTGTATTTATTATTTGCACTTCAGACCTGTTGATATAACAGGTTATTTTCCCATTATGAGAGGAAACGTGTTACTGGTTCAGAAGGTGAGCTGTATTACTGTCCCTGACAAAACACCTTATGTTACATGTGGGCCCTTCTGCATTTCTACTGACTGTAATTAGACACACCTGTTAACAATTACTCATGCTCCTGTGTGGATTTAGTTGCTGTTTTCTATCACTAACATGTTTATTCTTCATTGTCTCTTTTAGAAAGTGTTCATTCCTAGTACTGGTTGTATTTTTGATCTAAGTCACTTTGGTCTTTGGCTTTGTAATCTGAATACATTTACTCGTGTGTCTCACCACCTGTACAGACTTTATGTAATGAACTCTTCAATATTGGGTCTTGTTTTGAGCTGCACATTAGAATTCATTGTTTACCTGGACATAATTACAAACAATCCTAAACTTCTTTAAAGGGGCAATATCTAAAAGCAACTTTTTTGAGTTTTATATCATATTATAATGTTATCCTCTCATCAAAAACATGTCAGAGTCTTGCTTTGACTCATTCATACATGTTTGAGAAATCCTGTAGTGTCCTGCGGCAGCCAGGCAGGGGAGCAATAACCACCGGTTGGTACTAGAACAACCTTTTGGAACCAGCTCCTCCTCAGTCTCCAAGCCCATCTTCCTCATCCCAGAGCACACTCACACCTGCCCCGTGCTGCAATGGGCGGGACAGAAGCAGAAGGAGGTTCTTAAAGTGAATCATACCCCCCTGTGAAAAGATAACTCCGCCCCAAAGCGAAATTTGAAAAATGCATAAAAGTGGGTAGGGGAGGGGGTGTGGGTGGGGGTTTAGAGAGCGGAGGTGTGGCCAGGACGAGAGAACGCGACAGCTAGCATTAGCATAATTGATGCTACTTGGAGAGTGACCACAGCGACGCAGATAGCTACATCTCTAAACGCTCTGAGGTGGAGGATTTTTCACCTCCCTCCTCACCAGAGACGGAGACGGAGAGAGAGAGAGAGAGAGAGAGACAGCAGCGCAGCAGTCAGCTCTCCCCACCCGAGGCTGAAGGTCAACAGACGATCATGCTAAGCTTGCTAACAGCTCCACCCTCTGACTGCTGCAGGGGCGTGTCTTAGAGAGAGGCTTTTATACCAGAACACAGCCGCTGTGACGAAACCGTGGAGAAGACACGTCACCGCAGAAAAAAACATCAAAATTAGCACAGAAACAGTACTATATAACATTTTAGACACATTCTAGACAATTTACCAGCTAAAAAAAGTTAATTTTGGGGTAAGTTACTCAAGAGACAAAGGCCAATTTCAAGGTGTTTGGAAGCAGAAGTGATGAGAAGTCAAGTTTATTTTCTATTTAAACACAAACAGCATTTTAATAACAACTGAAGGTGATATAGATACTTTATTATGGTATAGAATTTAAATATATGCCTGAGAAACACACAATATTGCCTTTTTAATTATAGGTGACCAGTCACCTCAGCATCATTAGCCGTGTTTCCATCCAATTTTAATTCGAACTTTGAGCGAATTTTTTAAATTCTGCGAAAACGAGAAAACAAAGAAATGTGAATCAGACGTGTTTCCATCAACTGGCTTGAAGTGAATCACTTATGTCAGATGCATGCGTGTAGTAAACAGGAAGTAAAAGTCACATCTCAGAACCATGGAGAGAAGTTATCAGGAACGTGTTGCTACTTTCAGGAAAGTTGTAATTATTCTGTCATATCAACTAATCCTGGTGATGTTACTGCTGTCTGGAGGCGTAGAGAAAGAAATGTAATTCTCTTCACGTTACTGGAATAACTGGGAACAAGCTGACAGCAGGAGGATGGTCCTGTTGCAGTCGCGGCTGCAGTCGCTCTGGTACCGGTACCGTTCAGACAGCGAGAACAGCTGATCATGTGAGGTAAATGTTCGCTACATCAGAACTGATTCGACAAATGTGTTTCCATCTCTCGTTTTGCACATTAACTCTTTTTCAAAAAAAAAAAAACCACTTCAAGTGAG